CCATACCGTCCAGAACGGTTGCATTCTATCTCAATCCGTAATTTCTGGAGGTTTTAGAGATACAGTTCATCGAGAGCTAATACGTAAAAGTCAGAGATACTTGGAAATTTTTAATAATTAATCATCGAATATTAATTTGTACAATTCAAACGTCTCGGTAGATGACATGATCTCTTCTTTCGAGTCTTTGAGAATTGGCCGTTAAATCGTTTAACGTCAATTTGTTATTATCTGTAGCGTTGTCCTGAAAAAAAAATTGATTACAAAAGGAAGATGAACTCTTTGAGGCTTACTATTCTCTCCACTCCAGCTGTCCTACTCAACACTTGTGAAGCATGTGCTCGTACGGCTTTTGCTTTCATAGCTCGCTGCATCATTTTAGTCCTCCTCTTGAGTTCACGTAATCCTTCTACAACCATTTGAATGGGATCTGCATTAGATTTGAGAAGTGAGCGGGCGAAGCTTAATTAATAACTCTTTTAAACAGTTTGGTAATCAATCATACTTTTCTTCTGCAGCTTCAACATCATTTGTTCGAACAATTTGAGGAGAGCTTTTAGAAATTAATGGTAGAGGAGTTTGTTCTGCAGGTCTCTGAAATGGAACTTGTTCCAAACAACCTATAGAAGCATTACTTACAACCGATAATATTCTTGGAATAGATTCCACTGTTTGTCCGTTTTTGAGGAAAGAACGAGATCCAACTCTCTTCTTCCCTTGCTCATTCAGTTGCAGATCGTCAGTGAATGGTTCATTTGACTGAAATGCATATAGAAATATTGTAACATTAGAATAAAATAACCGTAATCGTTGAAAACGATGGTAGCTCAGCTAACGATTGAGCTGGTGAAGGGGGAATGGCTTTCAAGAATTGTAAGTTATCTGGTGAAGAAATGAAAGAGGTAGGACTGAATATTCTATGGCGGCGAGGAATAATGACAGGAGGTGGAACTGGAGAAAACTGTAAAAGACATGTTTATGAAAGGTGAGCATGTGAGCGAAACATACTTTATGAGTTAGAGCCTCATTATCTCGGACTTGCTCTTTAGTTTTCTTAACTTTGAAAAGACGACGGAAGACCATTCTGCCAGATGATTTCTTCGGCTCAACTTTATCAGCTGTATCACCAAAAACCTGTAGGAAAGATAGTTAAAAGAACTTATATAGCCTATAAAAAAGACTTGATTAGAAAAGCCTAGTTGATGATGATTTGAGGAACGTGGTTGATTATTCATCATCAGATGGGTTGTGGATGAAACTATTGAATTGGCCTGAAGATAAAAAAACAATGTTCAAGTGCATGTTATAACACAATGTGAAAACCATTGGAGATGCGATGTTTGGAAGTTTTGAAGTTCTTGGAATTTCTGTTGTTTGAGCAGCTTGCTTAGACGTCGAGGAAAATGGAATAGAAGGACGAACCAGGGGTAGCCCTGTCGTTCTCGTCATAAGACTCATCTCTTTCGCCTTCGATTCCCATTCGCTATCCTTAGGAGAATTTTCTGGAAAGTGCATATCAACATTTGTGAATATACTTCCTGGAACTATGAAGGAATCTAAAAAAAACCTTTGTTTTGATTAGAACGTAGAGCATCTAATAGGCCAACAGGTTTAGCAGTTACAATATTGGGAGGAAGAGTTGGAACTATAACAACAAAAAGTCACCCGTCTCAATCTAACTCGTAACGTACTCAAAATTACAGGTTTGGCAGTTGGGTGAAAGATTTCTTCTGCAGGCTTGTTGTAAACGAGTCTCAAAGGAATGTAATTCGTACCAGTCTGAATACTCCATGTGAGAACTCGTGAGATAAAAAAAATTACCTTGAATTGGGACACTTTATCATACTGCTCAGTAATTTCATGAGAGGGTCTCGTGGCTATCTGTAAAATTGATTTTATCTGATTACAAGGTAACAAGTTTCATACAGCGGAAGTGCTTGTTGTTGGAGAAGTGGTCGTTCGTACGGTTGTAGTGGGTGTTGGTGTTGGCACTGTTGTCGTTGGCCTACTTGTTGGTACCGTTGAAAATGACGTAGCAGTAGTTCTTCGGGTGGTTGACGTAGCAGTTGTTGTTGTTGAGGGCATGGTGGAGGATTTGAACGAATGCGGAACCTTCTCTACATCCAAAATCTCATAGTCTTGATCGTATTCAATGAATTCGTCATTGTTCGTGTTACTATATTTTTGTTTCTTCTCTTCAATTAGCTCCTTTGTGATTTTGGAGACAATATCGTCATCTGGCTGAAAACAAGGATGAGATCATTGCGATGGAAACATCTAGTTACCTTATTGATAACTTCGATTTCGTTTTCATCTGAACTGAAAGCGAATGCTGGTAAAACCGGATTGAAGCCATCTTCAAAAAGCATTTAATGAGTTCGAACGAAACTTCTTTTCACCTAGATTATGAATAGCTGAATGTTCATTATCTGCATTCACTGTTTTAGAGCCAAACTCTCTGATTGGAAAACGGTGTAAACCAAGTTTCTTCAGGAAACGGTCTTCTTCTTCTGACGTCATCTCATCTGTAAAAGTGTTGATCAAAATCCAATGCAACTGCTTTGCTGAACAGTCAGCCAAAAAACCGGCTGCAGTTAGAAAGACGATTAGCAGATGAGTCAGTTGAACGTCATAGAAGCTTCTCATTAATTCGTTCCCTTATTTAGAAGATTTAAAAATAAACTAACTGATAGGATCAAACTCCATTATACCATCAGCTTCATCCGTAATGGAGGTAGAGGTTGTTGTTGTTGTCATTGTTGTTGTTGATTCAGGTAATGGTGTGGATGGTGAAGGAGCATCGCTAGTTGAAGGTCGAGCGGATGGAGGAAGGATATCTTTGTGAACATCGGTGAGAATGTCAGTTATGGCTACAGGTGTTTTTCCCTTAAAAAAGAATATTTTAGGATAAAATATAATAATCAAATAAACTTTTGAAATCAGAAGACGATTGATTTCTTCAAGTTCTTCCAAAGATGGACGAGCTGATGGAGGACCAACAACACTACTCGCCTATGATAAATTAAACTTTGAATAATAATCTTGGCAAGTATACCGTAACCGTAAAATGTGTGAGAGAGGAAATAAATAGTACGAGGTAGATGGGATTTCGCATGTTTATTACTGCAAGTTCTTCCGATCTCTATAAGCAGTGGCAAATGTAATTAGGAGAGAGAGAGAGACAAATCAAATGAGATAATTAGAAGCTGAAAGTATGTATAACACGAACACAGTATCAGTTTAAGCCGATGAGTAAGACCAACTTGCTTCAACACATGCAATGAGAAGTTAGGGCCGGACAGGAGGTGCGAGATTGTACGAACTGAAGACGACGATAAAGCACGCCTCAAGCTATATGGCCAAACTGAATATACAAGAACCTTCTATCCATCTTCATCTCAAACCTTATCAGCAGTCATCTCGAACTCGCCTTTCCCCCCGTTCTCTAAAAAAAAATAGTAAAAACGGGCAACAAATATGTTGAAATCCTTCTATGGTTCCAACAGGTGAAAGCTTCTTCTCTCAACTGTTTCATTGACGTTCACGTCATCCCATGCGTCTCTCACGCACACAAGTCCGTATCGGATGTTTTAGTGAAATTTAAACTCGAAATCTCTTTCCTTTTGTGGCTTTCGCCTTCGCCGCGAAGAACATCTCGATGCATCTTTTCCAATGTTTTTTGAGCTTTTCCATCCCATCTGATCAATACAATTCATTAGTTGGAAAACCTTCTTCTCCTTTTACACTTTTTCAACATTCAAATCCCCACGACCTTCTGATGGACTTTACGTGATCGTTTACGTGGAATACGTGAGCCGTGAATGATAACACATTTGAATACAAACAACAAGCCTATACAAACTACGTGGAATTCACGTGTACAACAATAAAACATTTTAATTGAGTGATTGGCATTAAGGATGAACGGTTGTGCTTAAAACAGAAAAGACATCTCTCTCTCTCCCTCTCCCTCTCTCTCTCTCTCTCTCTCTCTCCCTTCTTTCATTAATTACAAATCCGGAATATGTTTTTTCATTTCTCATCTCCATTGTCTTTGTGTTTTTTTAATCGGATAATCGGATATGCTTCTAAAGATCTTCAGCTTTTTCTGTAAAATCGAGAGAAGCGAACGAATTGATCATGAAGTTTAAAATGACAAAGTTTATTAAAAATGACCGGTTTATACCCGTACCCAGACGTTTGAATTACCGCTGACTTCTTCTTTTCCATTTTCTTCTAGTTCACATTCTTCCTCATTCATCTAATTGGCAGGTTCTGTGCAATCATCTTTACACGATAGTCTCTTCTCTTCTGTAAACGAGGTTGATGTGAGAGAGAGGGAGAGAGAGAGAGGAAGCTTACTCAGGTTATCCTCAGATTCTCTATGACTGAATATACGTTTCGTACGTCCACGAAAATCTTTGTTTAGAGCAAGATAGACGAAGAAATGTATTCCCGAATTGATTGTTTGCATCCAATAAGCGGGCTTGGATATCGAATCGCTTACCTGAATAGGCTAACTATTACAAATCTGTCATATAGTTATAACAAACATGTTTTATAAACAACTGGAACAAGGCAATTGAGTTGGGTAGTGAGACGAGCAAGGTTGAAAGTGTTGAAATGCAAAGATAGTATCGAATGATGGCAACTTGTTTTTGCATTCGAGAGCTATAAATGGAATGATTAACGAAATGAAAAGTTTGTCGTACTGAGTCTTCGACATATGAATGGCTTTGATGTAGGAGGCAGCGTTCAATAACGTTGCCAAGCAGTTGAATGAGATTGTTGAGATGTAAATGAAAGCTCCATAACCTTAAAGAAACAAAAAAATAAATGATTTTTCATTTGTTCTCGTTTCTCATTCACCATCGCCGAAAGCAGCTTTACGTCCACAATAGAAGTCTGTCAAATGATCATTCTTGTGAGAAATGAAAATGCCGGCCAATATGGAGCATATGACGAATAAAGCTGACAGACCAGGAATTATACAAAATCTATAATTATGCGTAATTATGTAATTGAATGAGTTATTGAAATAACTTGACGGCTTTGCCATCCACATGAAAACGATAGAAAAGAGGAAAGTTAATGGCTGTGAACCGCTCAAAGCCCATCCAAAACGTTGAAATGGGAATGAGTAGGTCCCCTGCAAATCCAAAAGCATTGAATGACAATTGGTATGATGATTGTACCTATGAGCTTGAGAATAAGCCATAATTGTTGAGAACATTGAAATGATGTCCTTATAGGGATTGCTTGAGTATTATATGCTGTCGAATAGAGATCAATACGATTCAATCCTGTTAGTATGATGGCAGCGCTATTGATTAGATCAGCTGAGCATAATTGTATTAATAGCTTAAATACAATATAATGAATGAAACATACAAACAACTACAGACTACACAACTTACAACATATCGACTGCGGAATGTAGGAGTGGATAGGAAGATGATCATCAAACAGATATTTACGATGAAGCATAACGTTCCCAAACAACTGTTAATTATGTGATAGTTTATAAGCTGAGGAAACGACTGAACAAAGCTCTCATTGACTGTTATGAATTCCATTCCTCTCTCTCTCTCTCTGAAAACATCTTTCTAGAATTACTTTTCAAATATGGACAGCGAACAGAGGAAAAAATGTGAAAAACATGAGAGCATTTGTAGTTTGTAAGAGCAGACAGACCATCTCTGTTCAGACTACTCTGATCATTACAGATCAACCAGCCTATACATGATGGAGAGGGATGCATTGAATGCCATCAACCTTTATATGGAAATTTTGAAAAAGTTGACGTCAAATTCCATTTTTTGTCGTCGTCATTCGCAATACCGCTATTCACATTCAAAATCAGATGAATAACAAGTTTTTGACGACACAAAAACGTCTCAAAGTTTATTTGAATTCAACAATCCCTTTATGAAAACTAGATTTACGAATTAATTTTTATTTTGTTTTGCACAAAGAAGCTCTCTTTAATCTAATTTTATTGAGAAGATTAAAGATTCTGAGTATATGTGTGTGTGGGAATGCATACGTGTATGAGATTAGCTACATGCCATGTTGTACACAGAGGTATAACGGTTAACATGTTAGTATCTATACAATAAGGGTGAGAGGTTCAATCCCATCATTGTCTATGAGGAATCGTGCAGGGGTCCTGAAATTGGCCGAGATGTGTGCCAATGATTGATGATATACCATTTACGCCGTGTAAGTGGGGGTCGTTAATCAGAATTATAGCACCGACTGAGACTACCTTTTGCATTCTATTCAATCATTCTCATCATCTCTATACATACACACACAGATGCACACACACACACACACACATGTACGCAGTAGTCGCGTCAACTACGTATAAAAGGATTAGGCTTTTCACGTACATATTCTCACGTGAACGACGTGGATTTTGTAAATCATTTACATTCCAGCAGACAATGAAGAGCGGTTGAGCCCAACGTTGTTGTTTAAAATTTCAAAACAAGAATGAGGAGCGTTAAGAAGGAGAAGATGAGAAAACAACAAACAGGCATAGATTGAACGGAGAAAGAAACGTTCTGTGTTCTTCGTTTCAAGTATGATAAGCGACATTGTCGATCGGAGATTTGCTCAGAACTTAAAAGATTCTCCCAAATAAGGAGTGAAAACGAAGAAGTCGCAGAAAAACAAGACGGCAATGCGAGACGAGGGTTAAGAATTTTACATATTCGAGTGCTTTTTCATAGTTAATCCACAGAGATTCGTTAGTTCAGCTGAAATAAACGAATGACTGCATTCGTCCTATGCACTTATCTCAAAATACAATTCATTTGGTTTAAAATTAATTTTTCGAGAGAAATTCTTTTTTTAAATTTTGGTCGTCGGTTAGAAGAGAGCTGAGAAGAGAAAAGTGGTGGCGCAGTGAGGGAAGAGGAAGGGGAGGAGAGGAGTAGGATAGAAGGGAGGTGAGGCCTGAAGCGAGATGGAAAGAAGGAAGTAGCTGTGAGAAGGAGCCATAAAAGGCATTCGTTGTCGCTATTATTAACGAATAAGGAGATAAAGCCATGATTTGACAATCACAAATGGCATATGAAACCGTTTGACGGAATGCATTCGATCAAATGGAAAGTCAGAGCTTGTCTCTCATAAATAACTGAAGGAAACAGAACGAACAGAAAGAACTACACAAATCCAATCTGGCATCTGTTTTCTATCATTCAGTCGTTCTGTTGTTTTTATAGAATGTAAAGGAATGATGACAAGCAACGAATAGCATCTCCCATTAACATACAACACACCGCTAACCACTACATCAATCGTCTACATACACACATTGGCCATATTAGACATTAGCATATTGATTTGGGAGAAGCCTTTAACGAAAAATTGCGTGAAAAAATCATTCTCAACTTACACATCCGGAGTAAGCGGTGGTGCTTCTGGAGAGAAGGGAGAGAAAAATGTAAAAGAAGAAGCTAGGCTAACGGCTATCTAGTATTTTAAAATAAATAAACACATTGATCAAGTTGACCTCTTGTGAAGTAGTGGAGAAAATGAAGTAGAGGGAAAAAATAGCATAGAGAGAGAGTGAGGAAATGTAGTACAGAGAAGGGAAGTGAGAGAGAGAAGGGAAAATATAGAGAGAGGGAGAGAGAGAAAGTATAAGAATATAAAAAAAAGAATTTTTCTGCAATTGAAAATAAATGTTATTTGTCAAAGTTGGAGCAGGGCTGATAAAAAGTGTTTTTGAACGAGAACTGGATGAAAGGAAGTAGATCAAATATGTGTTCGACATGACTCTGGCAGTGAATTCCATTGATTTATTGACAGCAAATGCCTGCTCGAAACTTCATTAATTTAATCTTTAAAAATTGAGTAAATTTGAAAGGATGAGAAGTTCGGGAGAGAGAGAGAGGGAGAAATAGAGAAGAGAATGAAGCAGAGCATTACTGAATGGAAAAAAGGATGAAGGGAGGGGATTGGGAGCGATGGCAAGAGATGGGAGGAGGTCAAAGAATCTGAAGAAGGTGCCTGAGCTTTCAATTATTGGAATGAAGTATTGTTTGGAATGAACAATAAGAAGAGAATCCCCCCAGATGATCGTTGACGGAGTAAGGCAGAAAGAAACAAAAAGAGGAGAAAAGAGAGAGAGAGAGTAGCCAAGTAGACGATATGAAGAGTAAGGAAGATGATGGCTTGCAAGAGAGAGAGAAGGACGAAAACCTCATTTTACAACAACGGCGCCAAATGTCTCTTTCATCATTTGTAATAATCATTCAAGAAATCCATAAAGTTTATACAGAAAAACACTGAATATGATGAATAATTGAAAGATTGGTGGCTTGAAAGAGTAGAATTTGAGCTTTTCTCTTCTATTAATTTCCTTCCATATCCGTCGTCTGTTCTGGTTCGCTTTCGCTGTCCGAAAGATCTGAGTCGAAGCACTTCTTGGCCATGTCAGCTTCTAATCTTTCAACAGATTTATACTAAAAAGAAAAAAGAAGAATAACTGATGATATTGGAGGAAGGGAGGAGGAGTAGGAGAACCCAGAGAGAGAGAGGGAGTGAGAGGGAAGGAGATATTGAACGAACCTCAGGAACTCGTAATTCTTCTGCATTCTCTAGTGGAAAGTAAACATAGAAGTGGTCCGAAGTATAAAACTCCATGGAATAAGTCGTTTCCAGTCGGTGAGTCTACATATAATTCATTCAATACGTATGTCATAAACACAAATACCTCAATGTATTTCTTCAGAATGGGATATGTGTTGGTGAGGAGGGCAAAGAACGATAAGAATCCTCTGTTGCGTTGGATGACTTGGACAGTCTTGCCAACTTTCGAAATATTCATCTTTTCATATCCTAAGCGAGTTAACTGTTGAGCATAGTTGTCGCTGTATAAGCTCTTTCCATCGACTGAAAAGGAAGAAAGCCATTTTCAATGCAACCAACAAAGGAGTGAAGACTCCGAGTGTGAACTTACTGGAAAAAATAACTCCAACAGCTGATTGCAGAAGATGCTCTTTGACGTCTTCAGGCGAATCATAGAAAATTCCGAAAGTGATGCAATCGCTTGGAACAATAGATTTGATCTAAAATAATATGAATAATAAAGAATAATCAGATATAGATCTCTTCTCATACCTCTTGACAGATGGCAGCAGTTCCACTGTAGGCTCCAATCTGATGCTTGTAGTAAACGGTTAAGTTGGAGGATAAGAACTTTGCTTTTTCAGTAACGGAAGGCTGCAAAACAAAATAAAAGTAGCCCTTTTTCTCCCTTTGCACATTAAATTCACGTTAGTTATTCACTTTCTGTTTCAAAAGGCGAAAAAAGTTTTGCAAAGGTTGTCTAAGGGGGGGGCGAGGGGTGTTGAATTGTAATGTTAAAATTTATTTTGGAAAAATATGTTGATGACCTTGTGACTCAACTAGTTTCACCCTCAAGGTCTCTTTTCATATTTGACAACAAAAAAAAAGATGGACAGATTACCTCAATGTTTTCAAAGAATATGCTTGCAACATATCGGATGAACCATGCTGCTATCAGCACGCAGATAATCAAAATGACCAACAGACTAAGGTCCATTTACTGAAAACGAAAAATGCTGACGACAATTTTAAACGAGAAACAGATAAAGAGAGCGAGATAGAGAGAGAGAGAGAGAGAGACAAAGAGAGAGAGAGAAAAAAAGAACAAAAAAAACTTGAAAATGAGCAAATACACTTAAAGATAAAGAAATTGAATAAAGGAGAATATGCTTTCAACGCAATTCTCTTCTTCATTATCCTCCTGAACACAATGGTAATGAAATCAGTTATTAGATTGATTGCAAGTAACCAAATCACTTGTTTAAAAAGAGACAAAAAATCGATTGAACAGTCACGCGCTTATTGTACAGAGTAACAGAGAGAGAGAGAGAGAGGGAGATAGAGAGAGGGAGACATTGAACTATTTGAAAATATGAGAGAAAGGAAAGAAAAATAGAAGAGCTATTACCCTTGATTTCTACTTTTACCTCGTATTTCATTTCATTCTTGGCTCTGTGAGTATGTAAGAGGGTTGCAGTCTCTCAATCCCCTTCTCTCTCTCTCTTACAAACATGATAATATAGATTATAAAATAAATAATATTATTCTTTATAATATAATCATAATTTTAATTAAATAAGAATAAAAGGAATTGAGAGAGTAAGAAGAAACTTGGTTGGGGGGGAAGCAATGAATTTGCACGAAAATAAATATTTGTTGTGAAAAGACGATGAAAGGACAAGAATGCCAGCTGATCGGAGGAGGTGATAGACGCAGACACATTTTCATTACATAGACAAGTTCATATCAGAGAAAGAGAGCAATTAGTCTGATATGATGACAAAACACATGACAACTACTGCTTTATGGAAGAATATGAGAAAAAGAAATGAGAGAAGATAGAGACGGAGAGAAGAGAGAAAGATAGAGAAGAAGAGAAAAAGAAAAAAAAAAGAAAAAATATAAGAAAAAGCCCAACCGCTCTGCACGTATACTCAATTTGAACTAACTGGCTCAAGTGCGCTGTTCACGTAAAAAAACGTGAAACTGCTCACGTAGCGTGAGACTTCCCACGTCACGTGAGATTGTTCACGTGAACATTCTATTCTTGTAACTTGGAGAAAAAGAAAAAAACTTTATTGTTTCTCAATAAACATCTCTGACAAAAACAAAAAAGGAATAAGAAGAAGGAATGGAAGATGATGAAGACCAAGACGATGAACAAGTGAATTATCCGGTGAAGAGACCCCATGGTGATGACCATTGACCGTATCCTCCAATAGGAAATGTATTTTGATTCATTCCTCCATAACCAGCATAATTATATGGATAATTAGGCCATAAGCTTGTGATAGGAAGATAACGTTTGTTTCGAATTATGAAACTGAAAGAATCGTTTAATGAGTATGTTAACTGAAGAGAGATAGAGAAAGGGGGGGGGGGGGGGGGGGGGGTTT